GCTTGGCCCCTCCCCCGCCCTCGCCGGCCCGGCCCCGCCCCCTCCCGCAGCGCAGCGCCCGGCGCGCTGTCGTCACCAGCCCAGCTCTGAAGGACGCGCCCAGCTCTCGACTCGGCACGGTGGATTGGGTTCCGGCAGGCCGGGGGGGCGGGACCTCAGCGGGGATGCTGATTCTAATTGGTTGCGATGAGTAGGGGAGGCGGGCACTAGAATGACTGAAGTTTAGAGAGGGAGGAAAAAAGAAGTTTAGAGTATGAGGGAGGGAGCTAAGGGAGGGGGAGAGAGAGGGCTGGTCTGGGAGCGGGCACAGGTCGCCAGGCCGGGAGAGGCCCTCCGCCCAGGGCCTAGAGCCAAGGGAAACGCGAACGCAGAAAAGGGACCCAAGTCCCCAAGGTGGGGGCGTGACCAGATGGGCAGGGGGCGGGGCCTCGGAGCCTGAGCAGAACGTCTAGCCTGGGAGTGCTTGGATCTGGCGAGCCCAGATCCCAGCTACCCGGAGCGGCCGGGCCTCGAAACGGATTCGACCGGTTTGGGTTCGTTTATTCGTTCAACGAATGTTCCTGAACGATCCATTGTGGCAAGGGATTCGGAGTCCGGTTATGAAGGGTAAACTGCAGCCCGGCGCTTGACTGCTGTGTGATCTTGGGCAAGTTAGACAGCCTGTCTGAAACAAGCATCTCCAGCTGAGAGTGAAGATCTACACTAGCCACTGGGCTCCAAGAATGAAGAAACAGTGATCCTGCTCGCGAGGAGATTGCAGCTTAACAGGAGAGCCTGACAAGCAGATCACTTGAGGAAAACGGGAAGGAGGTGGATTAAAACCCAGCCTGGTGCCTGCAGAGCTAAGTCCTGACCCCGGTGGCTTGACCTTGGCCAAATCTCCGCTTCACGTCTGTCTGTAAAGAAGGTGGAAGGAGTGACTGTGAACAATAGAGACCTCAGATCCCTCCCAGCTCCAGTTTTTCAGAAACACTTAAGCTTTTCTCCTCCCTTATTGGACGCGTTCTTTCTTGTCGATGGAATGCCCTCTGTTCTTAAAAATCCTACCTCATCCAAGTAGTCTTCCAGGATTTCTAGGAAAGTGTTTTTTCTCTGAACTGGGGCACCTAGTCTCACTTTTGTGACAGGGCATGCCTTCTGACTCCCTTTAATAATAATAGCCCTTATTTAAACTCTGAGGAACTCCACAGACTGGACCAAGCTCCAGACAGCTGCAGTGATTTCCTTCACACCGTTGAATTGGGGAAATAAAAAACACAAAATGTGGGCGGGGATCAAGAAACCACGAGGGAAGTGGAGCCCTGAAGCTGCAGGCTTAGGACCTGCCAGGCAGAGAAGGGACCTTTATCTAGACCCAGGCCAAGAGGCTGCCAGACAGGAAACTGTAACCTTCAGTCCTTGATGGCAGTCTGCTCAGCAGTCTCCCAAGAGAGAAACTAGGCGATTTCTATAGTACCACCCTCCATCCTAGTGAGGCTCCCTCTGACCAAGTCGATGGCTTCTGATGCCCTTCACACTCTTGATGGGAGTAGAGGAAGCCCAGCATCTGGAAGCCAGTGGGGGAAATATTTATCGCAGGCATCATGTGGATTACTCAGATTGACCCACATCTGAGATAAAATTCAATTTGTTTTATGAACAACTACTTAATGCTAATACATTCCTGGATAAAAACTCGATCACCTTAACGTCTATTTTGGCTGAGACTCTGACACACATTTCTCTGCCTAAACTCTATCTGTTTGGAATGGCTTGGGCAGCAAGGGACAAAACATCTGACAAATAGTAGCTTGGAATGTGAGGTCATTTATCACATCTTTACCATGAAGTTTAAATGCTGGTAGTTTCAGGACTAGCTGGACAGGAAGATTATCTGTTATCAAGGACTGAAGATCTTTTTGTTTTTACTCTTTGCCATCATAGCCATATGAACTTTTGTCTCCAAGCCTGTCCCCTCTTAATTACAAGGTGGCTGCCACAGCTCCAGACATCATACCCTCAGGGGTCACTATATGAAGCAAGAGAGGAGGGTAAGGAAATGTAACTCTGAATTTTATGAAGGTGGCCACCTAGCTTATGGCCACCATGATTGGCTAGGAAAATGGTCACATGGCCACCTTAGACCAGTCACTGGCAAAAGGAAATGCAACTGCTAACAGTCCATTAACGTGATCATGAGTCACCTTCAAACAAAGGAGAGGTCATTCTTGAGGGTGGAGGAGGAGAATAGTTGTGAAGTAATCACCCAACAATGTTTGCCTGCTGCCTGTCTTTTTTTTTTTTTTTCCTTTGTTTTAAGTAGTCACCCAACATCTGCTGAGTGTCTTAACCGTAAATTGAATCTCAGGCTGAAAACCGAAGTGACTAGAAGCCTGAGCTTCGGAGTCAGGCTCTCACCCCGGCTTTTCTAAGTCCTCGGAAGCTGCTTCCTGTCACCTAACCTCCATTTCCCCATGCGCAAAACAGGCAGGACAACACTTCACTGAGCTGTGGCGAGACACGTCCACAGCTGAGGCAAGCACTCAGCATGGATGGCAAAGCAAACACTCTACAAAATGTTGCTTTGGCTTGTGATGTATCGCAATGTGTGTGATGAGACTAAATGTATCATTGGGTACCTCTCCAATCATCCATCTTAGCTGGGTTGATTTCCCCTGTTCTATGAATATTCTGCCTCCTCAGGGAGCTTCTGCTGGTAGGACACTTCTGGAAATTACTAGTCACAGATGTCACGTAGATTTTCTCTCTAAAATGGCCCTTTGTTATCATGGTTTCCTAAACCTAATGGTTGGATGAAGAGTTAGGATTTTTTGCGAGGGAACATTACTAAGTCAAACAACATGAAGCCAGGCTCAACAAAAATAAATGAAACAACTAAATTTAATACTTTCCAAAGTTTCTCTGGGTTATCTCTAATTTTCAAAATGAAAAAAAAAGTGTTAGGTCCCAAGTATCATATCCTCAAGCAACAGTGTCCTAAGGAGGAAAGATGTTTCATTATCTGCTTTTTGTAACTCGGGAAAGTCTTTCCCAAAGCTCCTCCCAACAGGACTTCCTCTCTAGCTGATTGGCCACTGGGTCCAAACATCTCCTATCCAGTCTCTGCTGAGGGTACTAAAATTACATTGCATATCCAGCATCCCCGCTGGAGCTCAGAAGGTGCATGGTGGTACAACAGCTGAGCAAAGCTGGAGAGGCTCGGCAAGGATGGAGGGGAGGGGGGCTCGTTAGCTAAGAGTGCATACTACCCTTGCAGATAATCCTACCTGAGTTCCCTGCATTATGCAGGCGTAAGAGGACCATTACTAGCTTAGACAAGTTCCTATAGGAGCAGTAGAGATGGCTCCATTGGTAAAGTGCTTGAGGACCTAAATTTGATCCCAGCACCAACTAGAAAACAAAAGTCAGGAATCACATGCTTGTAAGCCCAGGCTTGGGAGACTGAGACAGGCATCTAATCTTGCCAAATCAGTAAGCTCTAGATCGGTGAGAGAGAAACCCTGTCCATAAAAATGCAGTGGAGAGCAATAGAGGAAGATACCAAACAGCCTCCAAACACGTGTGTATGCGGCACAACCACTATTTTGTATGATATGCAACATAATCCATCACCACTAGCCTAACCCAGTGTTAATGTTGTATATTCATGTTTGATTAGCATTTTTATTTGTCTAGCATTTTATTTGTCATCTGTATGATAATAATGCTCAAATGTGTTCAGAGACTAATGGAATAATATGGAAATTTTTATTTCAGTTAAACTAATTTATTGTCTAAAATCAGTGTTATGTTCCACACATAAGCACACAGGTACATTTAACTGCAAATGATCACATGAACCCAGGCCACATTCACAGGAGTGTTAAAGGTCAGCAGTGACAGCGTGCTTTGAACAGGGGAGGTAGTCAAGCAGTCCGGCAACAAGCAGACTAACAGAGCAGAACACAGAGAACACTGAATGGAGTAGAAGATACCAACAGGCCCTTGGTTGTTGTCTCCTCCTACCTGCTTGTTTTGTAAGACAGGGTCTCACCATATAATGCTCCTGCCTCAGCCTCCCAAGGGCTGCTGGGATTACAGGTGTATGCCAGCATGCCCAGCCTGTCTTAACTACAATGTCCTACCTGAAGCTGGCCACCATTTCCTAGAGTGGAGTCAACTATGGAGCACCCAGAGCAAGAGTTTTCCCATCTGTGTGTGATCCAGACTCTGGGAGTGCGCTGCCTTGACCCATCTGTGTGTCTCTCCTCAGGCTGGGCTCCTCTCTTTCTGTTGCCACAGACTCCTTCATCCATCCATTTCCCAGATACACCGAGTGGATCATGAGCTGATGTGGCTTTAATTGCTCCTCTACAGCAATAAACAGACTTACAAGGCTTTCTGTTTGTTTGTTTGTTTTTCGAGACAGGGTTTCTCTGTGTAACAGTCCTAGCTGTCATGGAACTTACTTTTTAGACCAGGCTGGCCTCGAACTCACAGAGATCTGCCTGCCTCTGCCTCCTGAGTGCTGGGATTAAAGGTGTGCGCCACTACGAATATAAAAAGGGTTCCTGCTTTTTACAGGAAGAAAGGCAGTTAAACCTGAGACAGGTAAATAATCAAGAGAGATTCAAGGCCTGATAAAAGCCAGCCACAAAGCAGAAGACAGAATGCAGTGCTAGGTGGATATGGTTGGATGGAAGACGAAAGGCTGAGAAAGCCTCACTTGGCGAGCAGGGGGCAAGTGACAAGGGAGGTAACCACACAGATCCAACGCTCTGCAGATCCTGTAGTCCACATATGACATGAGGGGTGGGGCTGATGTGCGTGCAGCAGGGTTCCAGAGCAGAGAGAACTGGGAAACGAGGTCAGGAAGGCCAGAGATAACACATTCAAGGACACCAGGAAGGACGTGGGTTTTACTCAGAACTCAGTAGGAAGCTGTGAAGGGAGGAGTGGTGTGATCTGGTCTGGACTGTTTGCAGCTGTTCTGCCTCTGGATCCTGGGTGAGACCACAAGTCAGGAAGCCAGACAACTGTGGCAGGAGGATGTCCTCCTTGGTTCCTGGTTCATGACTCCTTCCCCAGGGCAGATAACAGAAGTGAAATTTCCCGTCCGGGAGGCAGGGCAGAAAACCTGACTTTTCCTTCTCCAAAGTGAGGCAGAAAAATCACAATTTTCTTCCCCGGGATGAATCCTGGAAACTCTTTACAGATGTGTCCAAATTTTGACTGGCAATACCATGTTGTCATCTGTAAAGTTAACACTCAACAATCATCCTTTCAAGTTAAAAACAAAACAAAACAAACAAAGCTCTTACGTTTACAATTTTGTTTGGGGCTTCATTCATAACTGTTTTGGGCCACTCTAATTTCCCCTGCCTTTCCATCTTGGAGTTGGCTATAAAGAAATTCTCTGACTCTCCCTGCCGTCTAATAGACGGTCATAAAAGCCCCATCCTTGCCCACACCCAGAAAGAAGGAATGCTGCACAAAAGAGACCAAAAAGAATCTAGACAGACCGCTTTGCTAGGCTTCCCCACTCCCCTGGGAGCCTCTGCCAATCACCTTCCTACACTGGTGTCTCTATGTCAGTCACATGTATGTAGTGAAGCCTCATAAAACTGTCCAGGACAAGGTTCAGAGAGCTTCCGGAACAAGAGAAAGTTCCTGGAGGGTGGCACACCCAGACAGGGTCCCTTGCCCCACCCCTTGATCTGTGTATCACTCCCATTGTGGACTCGAAAAAAGCCTTAACAAAAATCAGTTAAGTATGTCTCCCTGAGCTCTGCAAGGAGGAAGTTGAAGGAACCCCAGTTTATGGCTGATCAATCAGAAGTGTGGGTGAAACGTGTGGTTCCCTGCAGCTGGCAATTGACACATGAAGAGGAGAGCTGAGCCTTCAACCTGCGAGGTGTCAAGGTTGAATTAAATTAGGGGAACATACAGGCGGTGTCCATGCAGAACGGATTACTTGGCTGGTGTGTGTGGAACCCCCACAGCTGGTGTCCTAAGTGATCTGTGCTGTGACAAGAGGAGAGAAACTGGATCCCAGTTCGAGTCAGTTGTTTCTATATTTTCAGAAAAATCTAGAACAGGGACCCATTAATAAATAATGGTGATGTGGACCAGGGTAGAAAGGATAGATAGGAAAATTTGTTGAATGCTGTGGAAATCAGAAATTATAGCTTTAATTTCAGACCCTGATTATAGCTAACGGAATGTAAGTTACAATGGTGCTTTGTAAGAATCTCTGTAGAGTATAATTGCTTTGTTGAGATTTCCTCCTCAGTAAGAAGAAGGTCAGAAATGAAAAGTGAGGGAGAGTTCATAATTAAGTTTAAATGTATACAGGCGCCTCTCATCTGTTTACCCAGGAGCACTTGCACAGGGACAATGGCAATCTCAAGGTTCTGGTTGACGATCTTAAGAGCAGCAGACACTCACAGGGTGATCCTCAAGTTGGCAAAACATGCATTGTGCTTTAATATGTAGTTATAAGAAGTAGAATGCGCTTCTCAAATTATAAAGAGACTCGGGAATTTTGTTTTACAAAGGACTTCACCGCCGTGTGAAATCTTGTAGGTTCTTCAGCTAATTAGAAAACTGCAAACCCTTGAGCCTTGCTTTTTCAGTACAGACTAGATGTAAGCAGTGCCTCTAGCAGATTGTACTACAAAGCTCCACATGTGACTCCCTTTCTTCAACAGAGCGAAATTTCCTACTTACTCGGCTAAGCTTAAGGCAAGTGCCTCCAAACACGCGCTCCCAAATTTCACGGCAAAACTGACTGGAAATATAACACATGAGCTTAAAAATACTATTCCCATTCAAAGACAGGGTCCCAAGGCATTCCTGATGCTTACAAAGACATCAAAGTAAAGTGTGCATTTGCCTTCATTCAGAACTGGAGAGGGATCCAAACGAAAGCATGCACACAGCCAGTTGAGATAGGGAAAAAATGCTCAGCATCACTAGACATCAGGAAAATGCAAATGAGAATTGCAAGCTCTCCCTCACACCTGTCAAGATGGTGATCATCGGAGAGATGAAAGGTATGAAGTATGAACCAGGATGTGTGAAGCAAAGAGGACCCTGCACACTGTTGGTAGAAACATAAATTAGCCCAGTCATTATAGAAAATCAGACCTGTTATATGAGCCAGCAGCCTTACTACTGAGTATATATCCAAAGGATGTGAAACCAGTATGCCAGAGACACCTGCATACCCTTTTTTATTAAAGCACGGCTACTAAGAGTCAACCTATGGAATCGACCTAAATGTCCACCAGTGGATGAATGAAACAAATCAAAAGTATGTACATGCAACGTGAAACTATTCGGCTTTAACGAAAGACTGAAATCCTATCACTTGGTGTGCTGGATAGCTTTATGTCAGCTTGACACAGGCTAAAGTCATCTGAGAGGAGGGAACCTCAATTGAGAAAATGCTCCCATGAGATGGGGTTGTAGGCGAGCCTGTAGGGCATTTTCTTGATTGGTGATTGATGGGGGAGGGCCTAGTCATCGTGGGTGAGGCTACCCCTGGGCTGGTGGTCCTGGATTCTTTTGGAAAGCAGGCTAAGCAAGCCATGAGGAGCAAGCCAGTAAGCAGCACGCTTCCACGGCCTCTGCATCAGCTCCCGACTCCAGGTTCCTGCCCTGCTTGAGTTCCTGTTCTGGCTTCCTTCAATGATTGGACTACAATGTGGAAGTATTGGTCAAATAAACCCTTTCCTTCCCAACTTGCTCTTTGGTCATGGTGTTTCATCGCAGCAATAGTAACCCTGACTAGGACACTTGGGAAGGAAGGGAGGGAGGAAGAGAAAGAAGGAGAAGAGACAGAGGGGAAGAAAGGGAAGCAGGAAGGGAGGACCAACTTAAATTTTGATCTCAGACTTCTAGCTTCTAAAACAGGAAGAAATTTTTCTGTTGAGTAAGCTACCCAGTATGGTATCTTGATGACCTTGATTTTTCTTTTCCGTCCTTCCTCTACTTCCCAAGTGTTGACATACCTACCACACAGGTTTCTGCGGAGCTGGTGATTGAACCCATGTGCCCAGCCCCTCGAACCTTAGTTTTACTGTCCCCATCCCTCTCCCCCACTTGACTCGACTGCGGCTATACTGGCCTCCTTCCGTTCTTGCAACTTGCCAGGCAGACTTCTCCTGAGCCTTTCCATAGCCTAGTGAGCTCTGCCTCCGGGTGTCTGCCCAGTGTATTCCTCACTTCTAAGTCTGCTCAAAAACCCCCTCTCAGTGGATTCCACTCTAGCCTTCCTACTCCAAAGTGAAGATTCCTCCACTCTGTACCCTGCTTTCCTCTTCTGCCAACAGCACTGAATTTTATAGCACATTCTACAGTTTATTTACTACAGCTCCTGTGTCTTGTTTGTCTCTACTTGTTTTATTTAGGGTCACTATTGCTGTGATGAAACACCAAGACCAAAAGCAACTTGGGGAGGAAAGAGTTTATTTAGCTTATACTTCCACATTACTGTTCATCACTGAAGGAAGTCAGGACAGGAACTCTGGCAGGGCTGGAACCTGGAGGCAGGAGCTGGTGCAGAGGCCATGGAGGGGTGCTGCTTACTCGTTTGTTCCCCATGCTTGCTCAGCCAGCCTGCTTTCTAATAAAACTCAGGACCACCAGCCCAGGGATGGCACCACCCACAATGAACTGGGCTCTCCCACATGAATCACTGGGCTTGTGTCTGACTCTTTTGCCTGCTCTTGGGACCCTTTTCCTCCTACTGGGTTGCCATCTAGCCTTGGTATGAGGGTTTGTGCCTTGTCTATTGTAACTTGTTATCCCGTGTTTGGTTGATATCCCTAGAGGCCTGCTCTTTTCTGAAGGAAAATGGAGGAGACATGGATCTGAGGGAGAGAGGAGAAGGGAAACTACATTGGGATGTAATGTATGAGAGAAGAATATTAGATAGGTAGATAGATAGATAGATAGATAGATAGATAGATAGATAGATAGATAGATAGATAGAGGAATGAATGAATGAATAAACAAACAAATAAGAAAAGAAGGAAGGAACAAAGGTAAGGAAGAAAAGAAAGACTAAATAAAATTCCTTATAGGCTTGCCTGCAGCCTATGGCAGCATTTTCTCAGTTGAGGTTCCCTCCTCTCAGATGACTATAGCTTGTATCAAGTTAACATAAAACTAGCCAGCACACTATTCTAGAATAAAAATTCCAAAAGGGACAGGAATCTTTGTTTTAGTCACTGAGTTACCTTGGAGGCCTAGAAGACGGAGTAGACTCTCCATAAATGCTTGTTTGCCAAGTGCTTCCCATTCAAAGTTCTTTCAGAGATGTTAACTGGAGTATGTCATTTCATTTTCATAATAGTTTATTTTAATCTGTAATCACTGTTGGGAGTTGCTGT